GTGATTGAGAAGAAGAAGAAGATGAGTAGAAGAAGAGAGCACCTAAGAGGAGAAAGAAATCTGTTATTTCACTGTTGAGGTCGGTGCAGTATAACTGCCTTTTATACAAGACCTCTCACACGAGTCACATGTGTGATGAGGGTAAAAAGACTAAAATGCCCCTAACTATCTAGTAATACTACTGATTATTCAACAATGCGCATGCAAAAGAAGCAGAAAAGAGTTATTCGAACCACTGTACTTAGCTATAAAGGAAGAAATATAAGAAGAAACAGAAGCAAATGGGTTTCTGGATGTTAAAGCAAATGGGTTTCACTTCGTTGATTTATAAGTTTTAATAAATGAAATTTTTTAACAATTTAAGTGACAATCTATATATTATGACATGGTCTTGCTCAGATTATCTAACAATGTCCTTAATAACCCATCCTTTCACTTCAACCTGCGCATTTCCATATGCTTAGATTGACTAGTCTTTCATAGCCTTGTTACACCATTTAAATAATGAACATCTTCCGTGTAATGTTTAAATATCAACAGGTAATGATCAGCACCGGTGGCATCGCATTTGCTGAAAGCTTTTATTTAGGTATGGCCTCAAATGTTCTTCTCTTGAATAACAGCGGGTTGAAATGCTATATTTCGTACATATTGCTTTTCCAATGTATATAATAACTAAAAAATGTTGCTCCACGTATTTTTAAATACCTTTTTATATATATGGACCAAAAATTATTGGACCAAAAATGCAGGGAGAAATTCAAAAATAGCCAGATTTACCACTGGTCGTTGAAAAATAGCCAAGTTTCAAAAGTTATCGAAATTTAGCCACTTTAAATCTGAGCGAAAACACTGTTCAAAATCCGGAAAAATACGCCCGCAAATTTTACGGGAGTTCCAGCATAAGTATGCTTGAACTCCCGTAAATTTTACGGGAGTTCCAGGATAACTATGCTGGAACTCCCGCAAATTTTACGGGAGTTTAAGCATAATTATGCTGGAACTCCCGCAAATTTTACGGGAGTTCCAGCAAGTATAATTGTCCAGTATAATATACTGGAGTTTGGAGCACTGGTGCTCCAGTCTCCCGCAAATTTTACAGGAGTTAGCAAAGTATACCGGTCCAGCATAATATGCTGGAGTTCGTTCACAAATGCACCAGAACTCCCGTATATTATACTGGACCGGTCCCTGTTGCAGCAAAATAGTGTCTATTTTTCATTGACTTGATAAACGCTGGCTATTTTTCATTGACCAGTGTGAAAACTGGCTATACCATGATATTTTAACAAAAATGCACCCACATTTTCTTTTAGCCCAAAAATTTCAAATAAGACAAAAAACGACCAAAACTGCTTCTAATTTATTGGATTTGGTTTTAAAATACTTTCCATTAACCCAGTATCAAATTAAATGGTTCACTCATCTCTAAAGATCTAACACACCTATAAAATTCAACCCGAATTAATAAAGAAACTTCACTGGTTTCATCTTCTTCTTGTATCTTCTTATTATGAAAATTAGGGTTATAATGTCCAATGAACTTCAAAATCACTGAAATTGACTAGACTGACTCACCTGGATAATCGCAATAGCTAACAATTTTAATCCAAAATTAGAGAACTCAAATTCAACTGTACTCCAGAAATCAAATCTTGATGCTAAGAACTAAAAATTTACCTAAGTTTAAGGCTTAGAATTTTTAAACTGCACCACAAGTGCGTAGATAATCAACGGTAAAAGCTAATATGTACTTTGCATAGAAAAAAACACCTCAAAAAGTACGACATGCTTAACATTTGTTGTTTCCAGTTTAAAATCTGTACAAAATACTAAAAAAATGGAGTAATAATATAACTAGAGGAAACTCACTCAATACACTCCCCCACCTATCTACGAAGAATAAGAAAAATACTAAAATAATAAATAAGTTAAAAAAAAGAAGCAAATGATAAAATTCCACAAGGCAAAATATATTTTTTTAGCAAAAAAGATCGATATCTAAAAAAAGTTATTTTGGCAATTTAAGAATTAAAGAAGAAGAATTCCAACCATCAGTTGTCAAATATGAAATGAGAAAGGGCAAACCTCCCCTGATCTATTAGATTTAGTACAAGCCATCCATTAACCTATTTGATAAAAAAAATTGACCCAAAAATGCCTTAAAAACTAACTGACCATTTTAAATAAAATTGAAAAGAACCAAAACTGCCTCTAATCTATAAGATTTGATTAAAAATTCCCTCTGTTAACTCCATATCAAATTAAATAATCTATCAATCTCTAAAGATCCAACACCCCCATAAGATCTAAACTCGAATTTAATAATAAATTTCCGCACATGATCTCTTTTTTTTTTTCAATGAGTTTTATATCTTCTTCTTGTATCTATGTTTTGTTCAAATTAGGGTTATAATTTGCGATAAATGCTGAAATTTACCAGATTGGCTCACCTGGATTCTAAATCGCAAACTTAACATACAATTTTAATCCAAAACAAAGAGAATTCAAATGTAATTGTGTACCCACAAAGCCAAATCATGATGCTAAGAATTGAGAAATTCATGAAAGTCTAAGGCTGAAAATTTCCAAACTATACCACAAGTGCATAAATAATCAATGTGAAAGTTAATATGTATTTTGCACGAAAAAAACACAACCAATCAGTACAATAATCCTAGATTATTTGTATTACCCAGTTAAAACCAGTACAAAATATAAAAATGAAGTAATAACAATAACTAAAAAAATTCACACAATACATACCCCAGTTATCTATAGAAAATAAGAGCAACATTACAAATAATATATAATATTTTCTTTTTTAAAAAAGTAAATAAAGAAACCTCACAAATTATAAATAATACCAATCTTTCTTTTTATAAAGATTGGTATATTGATTCTTTTTCTTTTACAATTAAAGAATGGAAGAAGAGATATTCTCAACTAACAAGTGTCAAATATTAAAAAACCAAGAAACTAATTTTTTTGAACTTATGATTGTTCAATGCAAAGATAAAATTCATTGGAAAAGAAAAAAGAGATAGGGTGTAAAATTTTATTATTAAATTTGTGTTTAGGTCTATGGGTGGGTTGGATCTTTAGAGATAGATAGAGCCATTTTATTTGACATGTGGTTAATGGTAGGCATTTTAAAACCAAATGCTATAGATCAGGGATAATTTTTTGGTCTTTTTCCGTTTTGTTTCAAGTGATCCATTACTTTTAAGGCATTTTTAGCCCAAAATATAGTGGGGACATTTTTGGACGAATAGGTAACAAAGGGCATTTCGGTACCAAATCCAATAGATCAAGGGCAGTTTTGGTCCTATCCGAATATTAAATAGCCAAAAAAAGAGGATTTGGCATGGCAGAACAACTAGGTCCAACAATTGGCATAAAGAAACCAACATTTTAGGATTTGGCATATGGTAGCCTAAAGTTATTTTTTCTCTTCTAATGGTTCAACCACCATCCTAAAAATATGCCCCAACAAAATTATTTTCCTTAAAATAGCAAATATTGAAAAATCCCCTCGCACTTCCTCATAGCAACCATCATCCTAGAATATATATATATATATATATATATATATATATAACACGTTAATAATTATGTTTTGTGTATCACATTGTATAAAATAATAATTATGTGTATATAAAAAGTATATTAAAATGTTATTTTCCTTCTTTGTATAACACATTTCAGATTGAAAACTCAATTCAAGACGATTTCACGCATGTATCCCTATAGTATCCCGTGTATATCTTGATGTACATCAGTGGTATCTCATGTATATCATGTGTATCTGTGTATATCTATGAAAATTTGTGTTATATATACGATATACAATGTGATATACACGAGCGTCCATAAAAAATTGTGTTGTATACATGATATACAAAGTGATATACACAGACGTCCTTAAAAACCTGTGTGTGATATACACTGATGTACACGATATACAACGTGATATACACATGTCGCAGTTGGATTTTTAGGTCTGATTTTTTACCTGAAACTAGTCTAAATCACTTTCTAATCTTGATCAAATTTTGTATATAGTCTTGTTTAGGTATTTTCAACCAATTTCAATCACACCCACTCGTTCAATCCAACCAAAAAAAGAAGAGAAGAAAAACAAAGTTGAAATGTATTTTTTCTCCCTTAATTTTTGCTTCTGATTTTCACTGACGTGAGATCAACCTTACCTTTTCATCCCACTGATTTTTTTCGCTTAATTTACAAGAATTTTTGCTAAACTATGAGAGCGAAAAAGAATAAATAGAAGAAGAAATAAGGAGAGAAAGGGGGAGGGAAGCCAAAATAAGCAATAAGTTTTTTTTGAGAGAGAATATATAAGAGAGTAGTTTTTAGGTTTTGGCTATATAATGCCAATTATTTGGGGCAATTTTTATCAAACCTAATATAAGACTAAAAAATTTTCAATTCCTGTAATGTGTTGTTACGGGATGCAAAATTTTCAATAAAGAAACATAACTTTTTGGAATTTTTAATTTTCCAAGAAGAAGATAGAACTCATTGGAAAAGAAAAGATATCGGATGTGTGGTTTTGTAATTAAATTGGAATTTGGGTCTTATTGGTGGATTAGATCATTAGAGAGAGTGAGTCATTTAATTTGAGATGAGGTTAATAGAGGAATTTTAAACCATATCGAATAGATTAGGGACGACCCTTTTCCATTTTGTTTTAAATGGTCCATTTTTGATTTGAGAAAACGGCGGGTGCATTTTCGGTCCAGAGCATTTTTGTACGGACGAAATTCAATAAGTCATAGGTAGTTTTGGGCCTTTTCGGTTATTGTTTTATCAGTCAATAATTAAAGTAAACAAAATGAGAATCTTGCTGGCGATTTTCCCCGATAATCAACTTCAAGCTAGTGGTTTCACTGATGAAAAGGAAACTAGTGCCAAACAATAAATATCCATCTTGAAGAGTTATTCCATTTTACCTTGTAGAATTAATTATGCGGAGTTGATTAATTGTGTGTGTAAATTGTAATGTAGGTGCAAAGAAGGCACGTGAAGTGGTATTGGATGTTCTACGGGATGTGTGGGTGGACAGTGATGTTTCAATTGCAGAAGCTGTTGCAGCTGTTAAAGATATTTTTGCAGAAAATGCAAAGCAATTCTACAAGCTTGATGTTTCTAAAACATATTCTGATGTCAAACCTCAGCCATTATCGCCTATTTCCTTCCAAAAGGAACACTTAAATGGCCCATTGACCGATGTTACCCTTGTTCGCATTATTTGGTTAGATTTCTCCGCACAACATAGATGTCGTGTAAGCTTTACCTTCCAATTGCTTAATGAATATAGCCTTGCATCTTACATTATTTGAATTTTCCTCCTCCGCTAAGACTGGCCAAACTGATTATTTGAACATTTTGTTATTGGAATTTGAAAGTCGACACACCAATTAATCCCTTTGCAAATTATTTTCCACTAGCATAGATCTGCAATTATATAATATGATGTTAATCAAGGTCTAGTACAACAAGTTCATTCGTTGGTTAAGTTTTCAGGACTTTGTGATTACTGCTACAACATGATTCGTATTGAATGTTAATCGGTATTTCCCTGCTTTAGTCAAAAGTTGATAAAATTTATTAATTTCTTGTGCATCACTTACAGGTTGTTCCACAGCAACGCTTCTATAGTTCTGTGAAAATGCATGGTCTGGCTTAACTGTTGAATGTATGCGACTCAGTTCAATAACAGATAATCTCTGCGAGGAAAATTCAATCCCCCCCTCGGGTGAGGTCAGAATTGTTCCTGATGTATCAACCAAATGCAGACTCCCCTGGTACTACTTGCAAATCTATGTATTATTGCTTGATATATTCAACTTTATCTTCTTGGTTTTAAGCTAAAATATGCACGTTGTCCTTATATTTCCTTCGACAAGTCATAATGATACCATGGTTAGCGAGGGATAGTGTCAACTCTATCCTTATTGCCTCTCTAGAATCAGCATAGAACATTTTCAGTTTTGTGAAATGTCCCGCTAACCCATATATAGGGTGGGTAGAACTCCATGTGTCAATCGGTGTTGAAGAGAATTCAATGCTTGCAGTTTCAATTATGCTATTGCTAGTTAAAGATCAGCTTCTGCCTCACAAGTTTTGCATCTCAGTTTCTATTTACTAAGTCATTATAGCCCTTATCAACTTTCTATTTCTCTCATTGTGCACTTATCTCTATCAACTCTCATTATTACTCTTTCATTCCCAACCGAAATGGTCATCCTTACATATAAGATGCAATGGTAGCATATGGTGAGATGGTCATCCCTATCAAGAAGATGCAATGGTAGCATATGCACCCAAGGGTGTGGCCTAGTGGTTACTAAAGTGGGTTGAGAACCAGAGTTCTCAGGTTTAAATTTCAGTGGAGACAAAAAACACTAGGTGATTTCTTTTGTCCAAGCCTTGGTGGATAGAGTTACCTGGTACCTGTTGCTGGTGGGAGGTAATAGGTATCCCGTGAAATTAGTTGAGGTGCGTGCAACCTGACCCCGACACCACGGTTATTCAAAAAAAAAAAAAATGCAATGGTAGCATATATGGTGAGGTATAATTGCATGAAATCTTGTTACATTCATTTGCTTTTCAAGTACTCACTTTTAGAGTCTGTTTACTGTTCTTACCACATTGTTCTCCTTTGTCTACCAGGGGTTCTCACTGTAAATCTTGGACATTAAGTTGTTGCTAATTTTAATACTTCCCATTAGGATCTACTTCAGTTGTCCTTCAGATCATTCCAAGCAATTCCTGAAATTGTGCAAATATCCTAACGTCTAAACTCTTTTCTTAATATGTTTGCTACTTGCTCTTCTATCTTAATTGGTTCATTTCAATTTTATACCAAACAGCTTTATCTCGATAAAAGTTAAATTTTACTTTCTAGTGCCACTAGGTCTTTCATTAGTTTATCTAAATAGCTCATGAGCAGCACTAACCATGTAATTTTTGTATTGCCTTTTCTCTACTTGGTTTCCTACTTAGTTATCGAAAGTGAGAATGTTATCTGTCTTTACTACACCACGAGTTGCGGTTGACCCGACAGTGTACCCAGTACTGCAAGTGATCCTTGAGTGTAAGGGTCACCAACAAATTCATGTCAAAATATCCCATAACTTTGCAAGAGACTTCTTATGAAGAAGCTTGTAGGCAGTTGTTCCTTTCATCTACCTAAATGTTCTGTAGTTAAATACTCTGATTACAAAGTTGACCTGTTCCAATCAATGACCCAACTCCAGGCCATGACCGGCGCCTAGGTATTGGCTCCCAAGCTAGTCTATGCCCAAGTATTTCCCTTGAATAAGAGAATCTCCCGTTGTGTGGCTGCCCATAGATCCTGTGACAGCTACTAATCCTAATACGAATATAACATGAAACTTAGCACACATGTAGAAGTAGTAACTTAAATGCGATCACAATTTAAATTCCAACAAGTCATTGAGAACCCAATTCAAATGTATACAGATATCTTCTTACTAAAGTCCTAAGGTTTAGACTTTAAGTACAAGAGAAGCTATAGAACAAGTGTCTTTATAAAGCAGTCAAAGCAACAAGTCAATAAATAGTGGAGTCTCCATGTAGCACTGTGGAGCTCACCAACTGATGTCTTCCTCTGGTGATGGCCAGTCCCCAGCAGCGCAGCCTTGTCAATGTCTGTGCCAAAATGTCAATACAGTAGAGTTTACAGACTCAGTGAATGGTTGTCCAATCAAGGCAGACTGGGAACATAAAGTTTAAAAACATGTACAGCACATATTCCATATACGGAAAAGGCCTAAAAATGCCACTCAACTTTCAGAAATGGTTTATCCATGCCATCCGTTAAAAAATTGCTATTTCCATGCCACTGCCGTTAAAAAAATGGCCCATCCATGCCATTATTGACTAACGGCTCAATTTTTATTTGACCCATCCATGCCACTGTCGTTAGTCAATAATGGCATGGATGGGCCATTTCTTTAACGGCAGTGGCATGAAATGAGCATTTTTTTAACGGATGGCATGGATAGACCATTTCTGAAAGTTGAGTGGCATTTTTAGGCCTTTTCCGTTCCATATATAAGCTAATACGACTACAAGTATGATACTTCTAATTTGTACTAGCTAATACAAATAGAAGTACCATACTTCCAATACTAGTTATTTGTAATACAGCAATAAGGTTTATGAAATATCTTTTGATCAGGTGACTGCTCTCCAATTCCTCGAGCAACTAGGGACCCTGGTATGCCGTCAACTCCACGTCTAGGTGGGTTGGGTATAAATAAGCTTCAGCATAGGAGTGGGCACATTATATATGTCTTGTATATTAGTTTGATTATAAGTAAGCTCCACGACATGGGTGAGTATATTATGTTTGTTTGTATAGTAGTTCAAGTATGTACCTTCATATCTTAACGAATACAGACCCTCATAACATTATTACAATGCTCAATGCTTCTAGTAAGTTATCTAAGCAGTCGGACAAGTTATCTTAAGTATATGATTATATTCCATCACATATAAAATAAATCACTTATATGCAAGTACAACATGATTCACAATAAAAAATAACAATTCTTTAATACATTCATCGCATTTATGGTACATATATAGCCTATAGTTCCATTAAAACTAGCCAAGTACACATATAAGCATGCCCCGAGTCCTGACACCACAAGTAAGAATCATGTTGTTTTAAAGTACAAGCATTGAAATCAAGCCAAGGAGAGGGTCCCCACTCACTTGCAACCTCTAATATGACGCCAAGCTTCAACTAAGGTCACCCACATAGTAGCTTGCTGAATCTATTATCAACCACCAGTATTCCAATTTTCTCATATTTCAAATCCTAGGGTTTTAGTTTTCTAGGTTCTCCCATGATTCTACCAACTAAACTATTACTAGTTGCTTTATCCAACCTCTAAATATGAAAGCCCATACAAATTAGCTGTGTAAAATAACTCAATCTCCAAAATATATGTTGGGTTCACTTGTGTGAATTTCTAGCCTATTAAACTCTTAAAACAACATTTACACGTGACATTTTGACATGAAGAGAGTTCAAATGACCTCTAAGACCTATATGGAGGGTTTGGGTGTTACATTTAAACCCATTAAACATGTCTCAATCGACTTCCACCAAAAGGGAATCAGTTCCGGATCATTTCAAACACTCAAAGTATATATGAAACTGAGCCTTCACCCATATCAACAGAGCAAATAGAAGTCAACTAAGCTTGGGTTATTACATCAGTACATTGTCCGATCCTATGTCTTTCCTTCTTCGTAATATAGCTTCGAATATCCTTCACTGTAAAGGTTGATTTGCTAGCTAACGTTCTATCTTTTTCTGATAGGTCCTTTGAATATTTTGTTTCCCAAGAAATAATCCGTCTTTGGCTTTCTAACTTCATGTTTAAGGATATACTTTAGTTTCAGCAATTATTTCTGAGAAAGAGGAGGAGAAGAAAGATGGGGAATAGAGTGCTTAATTATTCCCTCAAGCTGCTGGGGTTTAAATAAACTTTGACAAAAATACAAATAAGGAAAAACTACAATTACAAGCCTACAAAATCTCCTAATCACTTAATTACAGGGATTTGTGTAATTACAATTTTGTGTATCTTTCTGTCTTTACATAGTATCAATTCTTAATACTTCCCCTCAAGCTGGAGCGTACATGTCGTATGCTCCTAGCTTACTACAGATATTGGCAATTCTGAACGCTCAGAGTGATTTTGTGGGGAACCTGCAATTTCTTTTGAGTTGGCAAAACTCATAACATGCACTTGGACTCAATCTTTTGTCGAAACTCGAATGAAGTGACAATCTGCTTCAATATGCTTCGTTGTTTCATGAAATACTGGATTCGAAGCGATATGTAATGCAGCTTGATTATCACAAATCAATTTCGTCAGCTCGTCCCCTCCAACCTTATCTCCTGTAAAAGTTGCCTTAGCCATATAAGCTCGTAAGTAGCCAATGCCTTACCCCAATATTCTGCCTTGTGCTTGACCTAGCCGCTACATCTTGCTTTTCACTTTTCCTGGATATTAGATTGCATCCAATTAAAATACAATAACCTGAAGTGGACCGTCCATTAGAGGAAGAACTTGCTCAATTTGCATAGAATACACAACAATGTGTGTATGTCCCTTGTTTTCACTCAATAAAACTTATCCCGGAGAACCTTTGACTTCTCTTAGGATGCGAATTATTGCATTCCAAAGACTATCACAAGGTGACCGGAGAAACTGGATAACCACACTTACAACAAATGAGATGTCAGGTGTTGTGAATCGTAACATAGTTGAGTTTGCCAACAAGTCTCTGATATCTAGCTGGATCTTTTAGAGGATCCCCCTATCCTGAAACAAGTTTAGTATTTGGATCCATGGAGTCTCCGTAGGTTTGCAGTTCAACATGCCAATGTCTTCCAAAATATCTAAGGCATACTTCCTTTGTGAGATGACAATGTCGTTGCCAGATTGTGCCACCTCAATGCCTAGAAAATATTTTAGTATGCCCAAATCCTTAGTTTGAAATTGACTTGAAAGATGCTGCTTAAGTTGGGCAATACCTTCATGATCATCACCTGTGATAACAATATCATCAACATAAACAATTAGAAAGATACATTTGCCATTAGATAAATGCCTATAGAATATAGAATGATCAACATTTGTTCGGGTCATTCCAAATTGTTGGACAACGTTTGAAAACGGCCAAACCATGCCTTGGGAGACTCTTTGAGACTATAAAGAGATTGACGAAGTTGACAGACTAATCTAGACTCCCCTAG